ATCATGGCGGCAGCTCCATTCCAAATATTTTACAAAGCTAATTTGCACGGAATTTTCTGATTAAATTCAAACTATCATAAGTCAAAACAAATTGCCCTGCTCAATTTTACATTAGAGCAGACCATAGTCAAGAATTCAGTCTTCCCCTTGAATCCTTTCTCCCTCCTCTTCCCTCTTTTGTAACTTTGTAGAGGCACTGTTCTAACCTTTGAGTAGAGCATGCTGTTGTCTGAGACTCTGTATGGTCCTCTGATACTCAGTTAGATTTTCTTCAGAACGTTCCGTCAATACCGACAGCTTCCCGGATACATTGTCCATGTCTTTAGTATCACCTAAAATTCCTCATTTTTGGATATTGCGTAGCTAATTCACTAAAAATAATTCGACCTTCATTTTCTCCATGACTTCTCTTCCATTTATGTACCAATGGGATAGCACATGAGATCAAACCAGAAATAACAATAACAAATCCAGCGAAGTAGAATGTTGCTGAGTAGGACTTAGTAACATCGTATACCATGCCTAAATGTTGACTTACTATTTATTATTATTTACATGAAAAGCGATTCCCGCGCAGATACAGGAGGCATAAGATTTAGCGAAGCAAAGCGTTGGCCTTTCCTTCACTTCGGAATGCTATCACTCGAACACAGCCAAAAATTATGGCGCACTCCTCCCATTAGGCAAACTCCGCCCACACGCCAGGAATGTCAAGAGCACAAAAATGGCCTACGGCTTATTTTGTGTTAGGAAAAAATGCGAAAACGTTAGTGTCCCTCACGAGATTCTTTAACCAAAACTACAATTTATGCAATGCGCTATATAAGTCAGAAAAAATTTCAGCGCGACAGAATGGCGCAAAAGTCTTGGATTGTGCTCAAGTTTCCTTCATAAAATGATGACAAACATATTCGATATTTTCGAAAAATACACTAAATGAGAATTAAGAAAAAATACTGACCAGCAAATGGAGAGCCGGCTAGAGATGCGATACCCCTCGCCACTACTAGAAGGCCGAACGAGTTTGTTAGCTTTTCGAGTCCTAGAAGGTCCGATAACACGATCGAGGTCAAGCATACGTAAGCAGCTAAAACAGATAATTATGTTTAAGTGGATGAGAGATATGAGAAAATGAATAAACCTACAAATGATGAAGCCGAACAATGCCGCGTAAGTCATTTGAAGTGAGAAAGTAGGCAGAAGCGGAGCAGCAAGTGTTAAAATACCGCAAGCTAGTAGAGAAAAATTATTAATAGCTAGAGCTGAAACATATCCTCTGTCTGCTAGCCATCCAAAGAAAACCCTTCCTAAACAACGTAACTTCACAACAGAACTGAGCGAAATTTTATAACAAACCGATTGTATTGGTCACACCAATTGTTGGTACTAAATATCGACTATCGCTCGAATTTGTTCCATGTGAATGAGCTAGATCTTTCAGGAACACGAATGGGATGTAAAATCCCATCATTCCAAGTAGATTCGAAACGCAAAGCAACATCATCACTGGATCTTTCAGCAGTTCAAGATCGATCATTTCAGAAAAGGCATTCCGAATAGCCAAGGGGATCCATTTGCATCGCCTAAAATTTTCAATTTTTGAAATTTTCAGACTTT